GCTGATAGAACTTCACAACAAATAACACATTGCGGTTTCTCAATTCCTGCTGTAATTATTGAGGTAAAACCATACTGTAAAAAATCCTCACTATATTTTCTTTTCTTAACGTTCTTCTCTACATGATCCATTGTCATGGGATGGTTTGCTAATGAAAATAATATATAACAATATCTTTAATAATACAAAAGATGTGCTCGCTTCAGCAGCACATATACTAAAATTGGAACGATACAGAGAAGATTAGCATGACCCCTGCGCAAGGATGACACGCAAATTCGTGAAGCATTCCATATTTAAAGAAAAATAATACAAAAGATGATACATGGCATAGTTCAGTCAATACAGTTCATTAAAGTTTCCTATGATTTACCATTCTGTGTTTGTTTTTTTTACATACCTGTTACTATCACAAGGGGGCAGTATTCACATCAACCGCCTCTGAATATAAAAAGACCGATCAACATCCAGATTAAGTTCCCATGGTACAGATATTTTTTTTTTCAGTAGTTGATGATTTTACAGTACATGATTTTACATTTACCCAGTAATTATAATTCATGAAGTGTCGTTTTACCTCCAATACTGCTGCTTCAACACAGCAGCTGCTTTTAACAGAGTAGCTGCTTTCAACACAGCAGCTGCTTTCAACACAGCAGCTGCTCTCTACACGTGTGTGACTGGTCCGCATAAGTACATTATGGTGCCAACCCTGTCACATACACCTGTATTTGTACGGGGTGTATGTGATGGGGTTGGCGCGATGATGTCATCACGCCGGGTACTCGTATGTGGGCGTATCTGCGTGTGGGCAGACCCGCCTGGAGACGGATAGAGGAGCAGTGTCTCAGTTCCTAAGACCATCGAAAATATGTGTTTTCCGATGGTCTTGGCGACCCCTGTGAAAGGGTCGATCGACCCCCAAAGGGGTCGCGACCCACAGGTTGAGAACCGCTGCTTTAGTACCTACTGACAGTGTTGCAAAGTAGTTTTCCCAATTTATGTTCTCACCAGCACAATGAGAGATTCAGTTGCTTCACATCCTCACTAACATTGGTATTGTCTTTTAGTTGTAACCTTTCTTTGGATATGTAAAGGTATTTCATTGTGGTTTTAGTTTGCAATCCTTTTCTTACTAATTCAGCTAAGCACCTATTCATATATTTATTGGTCATTGAATTTCCTCTGTGAAACAATTAGGTTGTTTGTCTTTTCTTATTAATCTATAGGAATTCTTTAGAGATTCTGGATACAAGCTCCTTCATTTGTTGTGCATGGTACAAATATCTTCTCCAGCTCTGTGTCATGCCTGCTTTTCATTCTAATAGTGTCTTTTGAGTAAAAAATATTTTTAATTTTATTTTATTATTATAAGATTTATTATCTCTTAACATGAGATCTGCCTGCTTAACAATTTTTAAAGTATACAATACAGTATTTTAGATACAATGTTGTACAACAGACCTGTAGAGTTTATCTTGCTTAACTAAAACGTTACGCTTGTTAACTAATAACTGTGAGAACAGTTGGGAGCTGAAAACCAGGATTACAGGCCTTATTAGGGGAAAGAGACCTGCGGGCTGTCTCCCAATTGGAGGACAGCAGCACGTGCAGAGGTGGGCACGCCTTTTGAGGGGCGGAATGGGAAGGAATGGGGGCTTAGTGTACTCGGCGCAGGCTGGTTGGTGGCTTAATGTATGGTCCTTATAGGAACAAGGGCTTAGGGTATTTGGCAGGTGTGGATTGGTGGTCCAATGTATAGTCCATATAAGGTACATGGTTAGTCGCTCAGGTATTTCTAGGCTGCAGGTTACGTCATACTCCGCCCACCAGTTGGGGGGAAGGGAGGATCTATCAATAACTCCCCATTTATTCCTCTCCCTGCCATCTGGCAAACACCATTCTTCAGTTCCATAAATTTTACAATTTTAGATTCTTGATATAAAAGGAATCATGCAATAGTTGTCTTTCTGTGACTGGCTTCTTTCACCAACATAGAGAGCCATGCTGAGCCAGGGGGAAGGAGCTATGGTGACGACCAGCTTAAGCTAGTAGTCCTTGTTCTCTCCCAGGCAGCTAGATTGTGCTGGTCTCATCAGCATTGCAAACTGGCAGGCCAGAAACCAGTTCACTGAAGACCCTTACAGAAAAGTTGGGACACTAGAGCTGATAGAAGCTGGGAGCTGGGGTTCTCTTCCTGACCATATTACAGTATACCAGGGGTGTCCTGAATCTCCTTACCACTTTTGGTAAGTCTGTTTTCCTGTTCACCTGGTATAAAAGCCTTTCAGTGACTGAATTGTTGCTGGATCTGTGAATTCATGGGGGAAAGAGGATTCAGGGTTTCCTAGTCGCCACCTTAAAGATGTTACTTCTGAAGATGTCTCTTTTATTTCTACCTAGACAGATTGTATTTTTATTTTTATAGTTCCTTTTTGGTTAAAAAGAAATTAAGCAGAGAATTTTTTACAGTTTTTGTTTTTATTATGAAATATTTTTCACATGCCAAAGAATATATATAATGTGCATATGACAGGAATAACAAAACAAGCAGCTAATCATTCTTTTCATGTAACCTCCCCCAACTAATAATTCTTTTCATGTTGAACTGATACTTTTGGTCTTTCTCAACTCTGTTCAAGTTTGCCATAACAGAACCCTTGGCCACTCTTGCCGGTCAGTTCAAATTTTCAGGACCCTTTGCGTGGTGGCAAAGCTGCAAGCAACAGGAGGCAAAACAGTCTCCGCCTCTGAGAATGTAAGACATGCTCACTGACACGTTCCTGCCCGTTGTTCAGATGGACAAGAAGCCATTCTGACTTGTGATCTGCCAATTTAGCGCTCCCCTGATCTTCTCCCAGCCCAGGATGAGGGTCTGTAAACAGGCCCCATCAGGACCAGACACCTTGCCAGGTATACTTTCCTCCAAGACACCACTGGCCTGTGTGGGCTAAGCATCCCAAGAAACCACATAATACTGCATCTGAGCCCAGATTCCAAGATGTTGAACCCTGCTTCTCTCCAGCCCGGAGAGGAGCCAGTCCTGTGAGTGTTTTCTCCTCCAGCAATCAAAGCAGAGATTTCAGCCTCAGACACACCCTCCATGTGCTGCCATGGAATTTGAGATGTGTCACTGGTTGCTTCTTTTCTGAATCACACTTGCTTGAATAGAAGGGACTATTGGTGGGTGTAGGTAAGTATCTGATAGGTCAGGCACATAGGCCCACTCTCGTATCCACCACACAACACAAGGCCTCCCTCTACTGCTCTTCCTGGTCTGTATTTGTGACTTTGTGTTTCATGGAATATGATACCAGAGAGCGCTGGGCCCCCGGAGGAGACTCTTTTGTCATAGCAAACACCATGTCTTCCTAGAAAAGAACCTGCCATATATCGGTTCTTTTTCCAGCCATCACCTCTGTCTCTGCCTTTCTACAGCCTCTTACTTTTCCAATAGTTTCGAATTGCTTCTTTTGTCCACTGAGCCCAATTAGAGCGGGAGCTCCCTAAGAAACGGTCTAACCTCCTGCTTTTTTAACCCTCAACAGCACTGAGTAATGGACTTGCCCACCTCCAATTCTCTGTTGGAAATCTAGTTTGGAAATGGTGGGGGTGAGATGGTAGAGAGAGGGAATAGGAAGAAAAAAGAGGACACTTCATCAGAATGCCAGGTTCTGGGAGGTAAGAGATACGACAATTAGATGTAGGCCTGCACGTATCTCTGTGCATGTTGCGTGGGGATGAGGGTGGTAGTGGAGGTTATAAGGCTGAGATAAGGATACAGTTGAGATCCAGGGATAAAACTTCATCTTCACAGGAGGTGCTCCTTTTAACTAACTGGATAATGACTCAGACACTGACGAGGCTAGTGAATGACAGACAGCTTGGTGCAGGCAGGATAGGACTCCTGGCAGAGGGGACTGGTTTTGGTGAGTGGAAATCTCCTTCCTGAAGGAAAGTGAAGAAAACATAAACCATTGATAGATTCTCCTTTCTCCACCCACAGATCTTCTACTTCAAGATGCCCTGGCCTGACAACACCATCCCTCGGCCCCCAGCACCTTGCTGTGCCTCTAAACCTGTCCCCACGCCCTCCCTCTTGGAGTCTGTCTCCCAGGAGTTTGGCAACCTGACCCATCTTTTGTACTGGCCTTCAAGCCCAGGAGAAGAAAAGGACCTATTGGCCTCCACCAGCCCCCAGAACTCCACCTACCACCTGAGAGGTCCTGCGCAGGCCAGCTATGCCCTGGGAAGCTACTTGGAGGCCATCCTTGTTGCCAGAGACCATAGGGGCAGGCCCAAGACCCACGGTGGGGATCTGTTTCGGACAAAGCTGCTGGGTCCTGACTTGAAGGCAGGGGTCCCTGGGGATGTCCAGGATCTGGAGAACGGCACATACCTGCTGTCCTTCCCCCTTCTTTGGGCTGGGCAGGCCCAGGTGCAAGTGCGGCTGATCCATTCCAGCGAGGCAGTGGGGGTTCTGCGAAGAATCTGGAGAGAGAAAAGAGCCACTGTTGATTTTAGAGGGTATTTCCGGGGACCCACGGGCATTGAAGAGACTGTGATTTGCAATGTTGACGCTCTGTCCATTGGAACAAGAGGGCCTACCTGCCAGTACAGAAATACGGATTCGGGTGAAGTCTGGTTCTGTGCTCAGCCCTCTACCCTGCCCTGCAACTCTTTAGTTGGGCACTCAAGTGGAAGTTACCTGAATGTAACTACTCTACGTGATGAGGCCCTGCTGGCATGGTAAGGAAACACAAGAGCAGGGGAGCTTGTACCAACAGGAAGCCACATCCTTCTTTCTAAATATTGTCCCTGGGACACAATGTCCCTCCCCAGTTTACTAGGATACCACTCCTTTATTTATACTCTCATTCAACAGGTGCTTGTTGCGCGCCTATTATATGACAGACATTTCTAAACAGATATGTACCACAAGAAACTGGTCAGGCTATCCATTTAAGGAAGGTTACAATTGATCTGGGGTTTAAAGAAAAAAATAGGAATTCTCCAGAAGGATAAGAGACAAGATGTTCAAGGCAGAGCAAATGACCTCAGGGCAAAAGTGTCTCCAAGTGCCTCATTTATTTATTTAAATTCCTGCCTGCACTTAGATTTTCATCTAAAAATACATAAATACATAAAAATTCCTTCTTTTGTTAGATCTTCAATTATTTAAAAATCTATTTTTAAAAAACATTAAAGATTTTTTTTGTTCAGAATTTTTAGTGGTTCTCAGTGTAAGGGTTGGTGTGAATACTTGGTTCTGCCATATTATCAGAAAAATGAATCTCCATTCTATTTTATGTGTTCCTGCTATATCTTTGATATGTGTTCCTTTGATTTATTTCAGGATTTATTTCTTTTTTATTTTATACAATTATATTTATTAATATGAAAAGATACTCCTATCAGTGGTAATAACCAACAGAGACAGCATGCCTATTGAAATTGTAGATTTTTAGGCAAGCAGCCCTGTGTTAAGCAGAAAATTGGGGCAGGCCTGCCAGAGCATGCAGCAGCCTCTAGCAGAGTGGGATGGAATCTGGTAAGGAGTAACTGTGATAGCGCCCAATGGGAACAGCCTCTTATGCAAGCATATGTGGAATACCTCATTATAGCCCCTTATTTCTTTTTTTTCTAATTTCGTGATTCAGAACAATTCACCAATCTATCAATCTTCCTTATATGGGATAAAAATAGTTAAGGCTATAAATTTCCTTCAGGGTACAGCTTTAGCTTATATTCTTCAAATTTTTGTATATGGAAACTTCATTTTTATTCATTTTCACGTGTTTTGTAATTTACACAGTAATTTTCTCTTTAATTCATGAATTACTTAGGAATTATGTTTAGTTTCTGAATATAAGGTAGGGAGGTGGCTATCTTAATATCTTTTTCTTAATTTACTTGCATTATGACTAGAAATACGGTTTCTGATATTAATTCTTTGAAATTTGTTGAAATTTTATTTGTGACCCAGTAAATGACTAAGTTTTTGTTAGTGTTCTATATTTTCTTTCTTTTTTTTTAAACATTTTTTATTGATTTTTTTACAGAGAGGAAGGGAAAGGGATAGAGAGATAGGAACATCAATGAGAGAGAAACATCCATCAGCTGCCTCCTGTACACCTCCTACTGGGGATGTGCCCGCAACCAAGGTACATGCCCTTGACCGGAATCGAACCTGGGACCCTTCAGTCCATAGGCCGATGCTCTATCCACTGAGCCAAACCGGTTAGGGCTATATTTTCTTAAAAAATAGTTCGTATTCTCGCTCAGCCAGTGTGGCTCAGTGATTGGGCATCGACCTATGAGCCAGGAGGCTGCAGTTCAATTCCCGGTCAGGGCACATGCCTAGGTTGTGGGAGGCAGGAGGTGGCCGATCAATGGTTTTCTCTCATCATTGATGTTACTATCTCTCTCTCCCTCTTCCTTCCTCTCTGAAATCAATACAAATATATTTTTAAAAATAAATAAAATAATTTGTATTCTCTATTTCTTCAGAATGGAATTCTGAACCTATTTGATTTAGATTGTTGACATTTTTATTCCAAACATGTATATCTTCACTAATTTTTCTGAGTGCTCAATCTATTAGCTTAGACATAAGTGTATCATACTGTGTTTGTAGATGTGACTATTTCTCTTTGTGATTCAGGCTGTTTTCAATCTATACTTTTCAAGGTCATGTTGTTAAGTATATTCAACTTTGTGATTGTCTTATGTTAATGGTAAATTACTCATGTTACTTTCTTGCTTTTTGTCTTAAGTTCTAATTTTGACACTATGAATATTATAACAACTCTCATTTGTTTAGTGTTTTCATAGTATATATTTTTCTTCTCTTTATATTTCAATATTTTGTGTGAAATAATTGTAGGTAGGTCTCTTGACATGAAATGTGGCACAGTTTCATTTGTTTAGGCACAGTTAAATAAATCATAAAATAGACTAAATCCATGAAGATAACTAACTTTACCTAAACATAATAGGTATTCAAACCAATGGAGAATATGTTGAATAGTAAATAAATAGAAAAGAATATAATTCGATCTGAACTCTAGAGTATATACATAAAATTCAATGTTTAGGAAAATTAAAGACCTAAATGTAAAAAAAAAAAAAAAGGAAAACTTCAAAAAGAAAATATTGTTTTTATTTTGGGTCAGGAAAACATTAAGATATAATAAAAGGCACAAATAATAATAATAATATTCATACATAGGTTTTTATTCATTTCTCTGGAATAGCTGCCTGTATGTGATTGCTGGGTTGTACAATTAGTGGACATTTAGTTTTATAAGAAACTACCAAATTATTGTCCAGAGTGGCCTTACCATTTACATTCCCATCAGCAATGTCTGAGAGGTCCAGTTTCTCTGCACCCTCCCCAACATTTAGTTTTAACATTATTTTTAATTTTATCTGTTGATCTATTCATTTCTAAAGAAAGATCTAATTCAAACCTGGCAAAACGTTAAGATCCTGTAGAGCTGGATGTTGGGTACACAAAAAAGTAAATTTTAAAATGTGCAGATGAGTCGTTCAAGAAGTTGTCCTATGAAGGAAAGGAACCTGACAGAGTTATAGCTATAGGAAGAGGTCATGGAAGAGGCAGTTTATTCAGTGGAGCAGATGTGATTATGTTTATATTCTGAGAGAGAAAAAAGGGGGCACAATCTAAAAGATGCAGAAGGAGGTAGCAGTAGGAGATAGATGTGTCACATCTGCTGAGTATAGAGAGCAGGCAGTGAGGATGGGTGCAGAGATTGACATATTTCCTGATAAAGAAGTGAATGTTAAGAAAGCTCCTGTTGATTAGGAGGTGCTGCCCCATCCCTCTCTCCCGGGCCTGGGAAGTGAAGGAAGAAAGATGAGGTAAGAAAGATGCCTCTCCCAATCTCAAATGTCCTACACTTGAGGAATGGTGGAAACACACAAAAAGATTGCCCAATAGCATTTCCAGCCTCACTGGAACTGTCGTCCATCAGTTCTAAAGACAGCAGTTCATACACTCAAATATTTACTCTTATTTAATAGCTAGTTATTTCATTATTGCCTCCTCAGCAACTTATATTCCTACTAGAGGCCCAGTGCATGAATTTCGTGCACCAGGAGGGGGGGAAGTCCCCCCAGTCTGGCCGGGACCCCTCGGGGTATGTCGGACTGCCTCTCGAAATCCGGGACCGCTGGCTCCTAACTGCTTGCCTGCCTGCCTGCCTGCCTGATTATATCCCTAACCCCTCTGCCTGCCTGCCTGATCGCCTCTAACCACCTCTGCCTGCCTGATCGCCCCTAACTGTCTCTGCCTTGCCCTGCACCTGGGACCCAGGATTCCCTCCACCAGCTAGTCGCAGGCACCCAGGACCCAGGCCAGCTTCGCCCGGGCCGGCTGCAGCCACAGAGGACCGTGGGCGGGTGGCCTGATCGCTAACTGTCTCTGCCTTGCCCTGCACCTGGGACCCAGGATTCCCTCCACCAGCTAGTCGCAGGCACCCAGGACCCAGGCCAGCTTCGCCCGGGCCGGCTGCAGCCACAGAGGACCGTGGGCGGGTGGCTTCGCCTGACCCGCAGCTGCAGGTGCCCAGGACAGCAGGGCAGGCGGCTTGTCCCTCTCCCGGGCCGCAGCCTGGCTGGTCCCCATTCCTCTCTCTCCAGTGTTAAGTGGCTGAGCAGTTCCGGCACAAGGGTGCGAGGTTGTGATGACCATTTGCATATTAGCTCTTTATTATATAGGATTGTCTGAGTTTTTGTTTTGATGAAATTTTTTAAAAACTTTAATCTGCTTTATTACAGTATAATTTATATACAATGAAATAGTCTTGTTTGAAATGTGCAGGTCAATGAGATTTTTTGTTTTGTTCTGTTTTTAATCCTCAACCAAGGATATTTTTCCATTGATTTTTAAAGAGAGTGGAAGAGAGGGGGAAAGACAGAGATAAATATTGATGTGAGAGAAACACATCGATTGATTACCTCCTGCATAAGCCCCGACCAGGGCCCCGGTCAAGGGAGGAGCCTGCATCCTACACTCTATCTACTGAGTTTTAATAAATGTGTATACCCATTAACTGTCACCACAATCAAGAAATAGCACATTTCCACCACCTCTAAAGATTCCCTGTGTCCCTTTACAGTCAATTTTCCTCATCCACCTCCAGCCCCAGGCAAGCACTGATTTGCTTTCTGAAAGCAGGTATTAGTTTTGCCTTTTCTAGAATTGCATAAAAATGTAACCATACAGTTTGTACTCTTGTATCTGGCTTCTTTCACTCAGTAACATGCTTTTGAGATTCATCCATGTTGTTGCATATCAGTAATTTTCTCTTTTTTATTGATGAACGGTGTTCCATTGTACAGATATACTACAGTTTATTTATCCATTCACCTCTTGAACATTTGGGTTGTTTCCACTTTTAGCAATTATGAATCAAACTGCTGTTAATATTGGGGCATAAGACTTTTGTAGACAAATACTTTTGTTTCTCTGTGGAATTTTTTTACTACTAAACTTTATGAATTATAACTGTTTTAGATTTACAAAGAAATAGAGCAGATAGTACAGAGATTCCCCTATCTGCTTTCCCCCATAATTTCTCCTATTATTAACATTTTATATTAGTGTGGTATGTTTGTTGCAATCCTTGAACCAATATCGATACATTATTATTAAGTCCATAGTCTATTTAGGTTTCTTTAGTTTTAACCCAGTGACTTTTCAATGGTGAGCTGCAATAATTTTTAAAACATACAATACCTGACTAGTCAGGGGTGCTGACCTTTTTTCCCTTAGACTGTCAAACAAACAAACAAAAAATAACAGCCAACATAACAATAGCTGTCCGGCGTGAATGAATCAAAATTAAAATTGCATTTTTTGGTGTGTCACAGAATTGTAGTAATTAATTTGTGTCTGTCATGAGATGAAAGAAGGTTAAACATTGCTATTTTATTTTATTTTTTAAATATATTTTTTATTGATTTCAGAAAGGAAGGGAGAAGGAGGGAGGGAGATAGAAACATCATCAATGAAAGAGAATCATGGATCAGCCGCCTCCTGCACATCCCCTAGTGGGGTTCGAGCCTGCGACCCAGGCATGTGCCCTTGACTGGAATCGAACCTGGGACCCTTGGGTCCACAGGCCGACGCTCTATCCACTGAGCCAAACCGGCCAGGGAAAACATTGCTATTTTAATCTAATGTCCTTTTTCTGTTCCAGAATCCCATCCAGAATTCTGCATTACATTTAGTCATCAAGGTCCTCGGTTGTGACAGATTCTTATACTTTCCTTATTTTTTATGACTTGGACAGTTTTGAGGAGTACCGGTTAATTATATTGTAGTATTCCTCTCTGTTGCAATTTGTCTGATGTTATTCTTATGATTAGAGGTGGGTTATGGTTTTGAGGAAGAAGGTCACAGAGATCAGGTTACATTTTCATCACATTATATCAAGTGTACATGCTACCAACGTGATTTATGAGTGTTGATTTTAACCTGGCTGGGCAGTGTTTCTCCACCACAAAACTACTCTCCCACACCCTCTCCTTCCACACTGTGCCCTTTGGGCAACGCTAGGTACAGCCCACACTTAAGTAGTGAGGGATTATGATCTCCACTGCCTGAGTTTTTTGTAACAAAAATTATTCTGCTCATGTTCCTTCCAGAATGTAGTGCTAGGAAGAGAGAGTTTCTTTCTCCTGGCTTGTGTACCCTTCTTTATCAGAGAAGAGCTACATGATCCAGCGTGGATGCTCTTTTATTGCCTGGCCTGTTAGTAACCTGAGAGCTCATGGGTAGGTTGATTGCAGAAAGTCCAGGTTCCTGATAAGATTTTCTCTTTCTTCCATCACTTTTTTCTGATTCCTGATTGTAATTGCTTCATTACAAAAGTGCTCATTGTATTGTAGCTACCTCAAACTCTTTTAGGACTTAGGCAGAGTAGAAATTATAAGTCAACCATCATATCCCTATGCTGGATTCCAGTTTTCACCTGCTCAGCCCCCTCAATGCTCACTCTTGGTGTTTCTCCAGGCAAGTGACAGACAAGGTGCTCCCTCGGGGCATTTCTCCAATCCAAATCAGAAGGGCAGCCCCAGGAAACAGCAGCCTGGGTGAGTGGGGCTGGCATTTGCTGGGGACCGGGCAGGTGTGGGGTGGGGAATAGACGTAGGGGGTTTTAGTCCTTGACTGGGAGTTGAGCCCCAGTCCTCCTGCCAGGGCAGTATGCATAATGGTTAGCAATCTGTGCTGTAAAGTCAGACTTCTTGGGTAAAAGTCTATCTCTGCCAGTCACTATTCTTGACCATGGGTAAATTGCTTAACAATTCAGGGCCTTCGTGAATAGTACTTCATGGACTTTTGCAAAAAAGTAAATGAAATGATGTACGTAAAGCACATAGAAGAGAGCCCAGAATTTTATAATAATAAATGTTAGTTGTGTTCTGGTTTTTCCTTTTCTATAGCCCTACCCTCTCGACCCCCGTGCAGTCCTGGGCTCCCTACCGCAAAGCCCTCTGGCTTCTACCACGGGCACGTGTGGCACTCACTGTCCTGCTCCAGCCGCTCCTTTCCCACTGTTAACAGCATCCTGGGCTGCCTGGCTGGTCACGTCGTCCACATGATGGGGGACTCCACGCTTCGGCAGTGGTGGGAGTATCTGCGTGACACCGTGCCCTGTGAGTGGCCCTGTGGGGACAGGGTAGGACTCCTGGTAAAGCTGTGGTTCTCCTATTACCTAAAACCCAAGTGACTTCTGTGGAATGTATGTTGTTTCCTCCGCCTCTCCCGAGTTAAATTAACACAATCCCAAATCTTCCATGTGCAGCGTTTCTCTAAATAGTCAAGATGAATGGAGAACAGAAAATTGTCACAGGATGTGTGAATAACCTCCCACTTCGAAAAGAAAAACAAACACAACATCTCTATCAGTTATTTTAAATAAAATTATATCCAAGCAGCCAGTACCTAATACGAAGTTACTACAAGTCTCGAAGATATCTGAGGAGTGGGAAGGTAGAACCGAAAAGCTAGCCTGAATGACAGCTGGACTGGGCCCACTATTCAGTGGTCATATTCTCTGTGAGCTCAATTGTAAAGTTAGCAACAGACTAGTTGTGGCTCCTGCTTACCGTGTTTTTTGAGGACAGTCCACCTAAGCATATTATCTCTGATTTCAGGTAGTTCAGATGCATTCTTGTCTTCCTAGAAGTTTAGACATTTTTAAAAAGTTTAGAAATTTGCCATATTGTCATCCTCAGTCACTAGAACTAATTTGAGGTTCTTTATTTTAAACATTGAGGTGTAATTGACAAGTCACAAATAGAATATATTTAAAGTGTACCATTTAATAAGTTATAACATATATGTACACCTGGAAAACAACCTCCGCAAAAAAGATAATTAACATATCCACGTGGCAGAAAACTTTTCTGGTGGCCCTTGCTAATCCTTGCCTTCTACCCTTCCTCTTCCCCAGGCAACCACACATCTGCTTTCTGACTTTTCAGCTTAATTTGCATTTGCTAGAACTTTATTTAAGTAGAGCCATACAATGTGTACCCTTTTTTGTGTGTGGCTCCTTTCATACAACATAATTAATTTTGAGATTGATCCACATTTCTGAGTGTGGCAATGGTTTGTTCCTTATTTAGTGCTATGAAGTATTCCATTATATGCATATACCATTATTTGTTTATCCATTCATCTGTTAATGGACGTTTGGATTGTTTCCAATTTTTAGCTATTACAAGTAAAAATGGTTATGAATATTTGAGCACAAGCCTTTTTTATTATTATTATTTCAGAGAGGGAGAGGGAGAGAGATAGAAATGCCAATGATGAGAGAGAATCATTGATTGGATGCGTCCTGCATGCCCCCTACAGGGGATCAAGCCCACAACCCGGGCATGTGCCCTTGACTGGAATCGAACCACGGACCCTTCAGTCCGCAGGCCGTCGTCACTCTTTCCACTGAGCCAAACCAGCAAAGGCTGTGCACAAGTCTTTATATGGGGATATGCTTTCATTTCTCTTGAGTAAATAATACCTTAATGCAGTGGTTCTCAACCTTCCTAATGCCGCGACCCTTTAATACAGTTCCTCATGTTGTGGTGACCCCCAATTTCATTGTTACAAATTGAACATAATTAAAGCATAGTGATTAATCACAAAAACAATATGTAATTATATATGTGTTTTCCGATGGTCTTAGGCGACCCCTGTGAAAGGCTCGTTCGACCCCCAAAGGTTGAGAACCGCTGCCTTAATGTGAGATGGCTAGATCAGATGGCAGGTGAATACATATGATTAACTTGTTAAGAAACTGCCAAACCGTTCTCCAAACTAACTGTATCATTTTATATTCCCACCATCACTGGATAGGACTTCTAGTTCCTATATATTCTCACCCACACTTGGGAATGTCAATCTTTTACATTTTAGCTTTACTAATAGGTATTAGTGTTCATAATGGCCCATTGAAGCATTTTGTACAATGGCTGCTTTTAAAATCCTTATCAGATAATTCCAACATCTGAGTAATCTTGTTGGCATGATTGTCTTTTCTCATTCAACTTGTGATTGCCGTGGTTCTTGGGATGATATGTAATTTTCTATTGTTTCCTGGACAGTTTGGGTATTCTGGCGTGAGACTGTGGGTCTTTGTTCTTTTTAACAAGCACTCACCTATTTGGGTGTAGCGTGCAGGTCCAGGTGGAGTGTATGCTCAGCTCGCTTTGGGGCTCTGTTGCTACCACCCCAGTGAAAATGGAGAACCAGCTCCATGGCCTTGTTGCCACTGGGTGAAGGCGTCATTTCAGCTCCACACCAGGGACAGGCGGGTACAGTGCCAACTAGCATTTCTTCACTCCACCTTTTTCTGCCATGTTGCTGCCAGGTGGCAATGGAAACTCAGATCCCTCTTGGAGTCAATTTTATTTTAATCAATGTATACGTTACTTTGAATTCTTTTTTTTCATATTTCTATTGCATAATCTATTACTTTTATTATCTGTAAGTATAGATTTTTCATTGCATTCTAAAAACAAATTACTTTCTGACTAAAATGACAGATACTACATGCCTACAGCAAATTCCCCTCATGTTCCACAATATAGCACAAACACTCCATGCACCAGCAAGCACAAAAACACCATCCTTGGCCAAAAGGCAGAGCCAGTCTCCCTCCAGCCCCCGGCCACAGATTACCCATCCATCAGTCAGTACATCATCCTGCTCTATGTGTGTTTCTATTTAAAGACATTCCAGTTAATATATATTGTTTATTTATTAACATTGAATTCATCGCCAATAGCAATAGAGCTCATTCCTTAAGGAAGCTTATTTAACAGATACATTATCTCCATAAAGCATAGCTAGTGCTTTGGCACTAAGGCTGTGGGCTATTTTAAACAGCAGGGGCCACAGGCTCCTGGGAAGGCGTCTTCAGAGACAAATGGGGACTGTTCTCATTCCTCACGGGGATCTGAAGAAAAGAAGGAACATGGGGGAAAGGCAGAAAGCAGCAGCTCCTCAGACTCCAGCAGTAGCGATGAAGATGCCAGCAGCTCCAGCTCGTCTTCCTCGGGGGACACCTCTGACTCAAGACTCCAACTGAGCTTTGTTCATTCCTAGGTGGCGGGACAGAGAACTTCCCAACAGAAGTCTTTGGCACCTATGTACATTGAAGGGCTCTTCTCCTTGACCCTTTTTATTGCTTTACTTCTTCCTTCCGTTCCCCTCCTCCTCCTCAATACAGAGTAGGACGGGTTGGGAAGCGGGGAATGGGGACAGAACTCTCAATATCAGGTCCACACACCTGGGAAGAGAGGTTCCTGCTGGGAGAAGAAATATATCTGAGCTTTTTTGGGTCCCCCTACACCAGTGATGGCGAATCTTTTGAGCTCGGCGTGCCAGCATTTTGGAAAACCCTAACTTAACCCTGGTGCCGTGTCATATATAGGATTTTTTGATATTTGCAACCATAGTAAAATAAAGACTTATATTTTGATATTTATTTGATTTTCGAGAGCATCTCCAGGAAGTCCTGCGGAGATGGTGCCTCCACATTCTGGAAGGTGTTCTGGACTCTGCCAAACAGGATTAAGTTTTTCATCTCCAGATCGATGAACCCCAAGTGGTTCTCATCGAACAGGATGAAGACTCCAGGGAAGCGCCTGGGGTAGGAGAAGGGATCTAAGGTACCAATGTAAACGCCATAGAAACACATCCTGCAGGTTCGGGGGTAGTTCTGGTCACTTGAGCGCACGCCCACAGGCAGAACAAACGGAACAGGCTGCTCCTCCGAAGCTTCAGCCCCGAACTTCCCGACGCTGGGCTGGGCAGGGCTCTGCCAGCCATGGCCCT